TTTCTCGCCAAAAATTTTCCAAATAAAAATTTCCTCTATATGTCAATTTTTTTTAATCTTCTCTCACATGGAACAACCAACCAAGAGAAAAGGAAAGTCAAAATAAATAAAAAAATTTATTCCCTTCTCTTCTTTTCTCTCTTACTATACAGAACTTTATTTTCCAATTTTTTGTATCATATGGTTTTCCATTGTATTTTACTTAAGATTTTAAAAAATGACAGCAAGTGTTACGTAACGGTTTTGGGGATTACCGCCACCTGTTATGGCCGCTATAGTGGTGTGACAAAAATTTACAACCGTAATGGTTGCCACCTAATTCCTTATGAATATGCAACGATAAAAATCTCTGTGTCATCCCTATGATCATGCAATGGTAAGAAAGAGTGATATGATCACCATATATGAAGATGTTAGGGGGAGGGGCACCTAAGTTGACATATGATATGGTAGTGAAAAATATGTGAATTTATTTAATTTAATTGAGCATATAACCCTTGATAAGTTGAATGGAAAAAAAGGATTCATGTAGCTGGCCCCACTTGATTGGAAAACAAGGCTTAGTTTGGTTTGATTTAATGGTTGCCAACTATGTAAAGGCCGTAATGGCTGATACAGCACTGTTACTTCTCTGATTTCACCAGATTTTTATCATAAAACCATTTTTGTCTCATTCTTTTTTCCGGCTATTAAAATTATAGAAAATGACATAATGCTTATACGAAAATCTTAGATCTATATGCTTTAAGTGTCTAACCTTAAAATTCTACAAGGATTGAATTGCTATGAAGGCTAGATGAGTTTAGTGTGGCCGCCGCCGCCGCCGCTTCTTGAGCTACGGCAATTTGAGACAGAATACAGAAAGGTAATGGCACCTGATTATCTAGCGATGGTTTTTTTATTGGTTTTTGGCAATACGTGCATGGTTTTATCTTTCACGTGTGATGTCTTGTAGGCATTGGCACGCTTTCAAGAAGTGACCAATAGATACACCCAGGAAAGGCTGTCTGTAAGTTTTGTTCTCTCTTAACCTCATCATTCTTATAGAATTTGTTGCCTTAACAACTTAGCACTGATTTCTTCCCTATTGTCTCAGTCCTTCTGTGAACGAACATTCCCCATGACCACCTTTGTGTGCACCTGAAAGATATTGGATTTCTACGTATTTCATTTTTAATCCGTTGTTTAATGTTGTTCATTCACTTTTTTGGTGGCTCTTTGGTAATCTAAAAAACCTGATGCATTTGGGAGGTTGTTAAAAAAGTTGATTTTTTTTTTTAGTGGGAAAGTTGAGTGGGTCCTTACCCTTTTTAGTTGATGACAAACAGGCTTGTGTTAGCCAAAAAAGCTAGTAAGTTACTTTTTTAGCCAAAAAGTTATGTCCCTTCCTATAATCGTAAATGATGTAGAAAATTCTGTGATATGTTTTGTTTTGTAAACATTGAATTTGAGTGTTTTTACCCTCTCATAATTATATAGAACTCTAGTTACTTTGTTTTCATCTTATCGTAGCCATGATCTTGTTTCTGGAACAATATTTTTTTTGTGATTCTGGAAACAGGTTGATGAGTTGCTGAAACAGCAAGACACCTATCCAGTCTTCGTTCACCGTAACCAGGTCGGTCATCAACTTTAGTGGGGGTGGCACTCATGTTAGTAATGGAAGTAGTAGTAGTAAAGTTCCCGGTGAAGATTTCAAGGCTGAGAGCCCCGGAGAAGACGGAAGCTCGGACGGAAAGGATAAATCATCCAAAAAGAAATGGTTCAATCTTAACCTAAAAGGGTCTGATAAGAAGTTGGGTTAAAAGGGTGTGCTTATATAGTCCTGCATTGTTTGCAAGGTTTGACTTGCCTTTTATTTGTTCAATTCATTTCTTCCTTGTGGATCCCCCAAAGGTTGTTCTTTACAGTTTATTATAGTCCATTTCGACAAACATAGCGAATGATTTGTGTGTGCATATATCTTTGTTTTTTGATTTTTTTTTTTTTCAATTGAAATGAATTGCCTGTTAGCCTCCTAGTTGATGTAGAAGCTAGAACATAGTTTTGATTATGTAATAATAGATTTTATTCCTTGAAGTTCGTTGTAATTGTGAATTCATTGCTCTATATTTGTCTGATTAGCATGTCTTGAATCTCATTTGAGCAGAGAGTTGAAGGGTGTCAATTAATTCAAACACAAAGAAGATTGCAAATGTTGTATTGAATTTTCATCAAGTTAAATCTATAAGTTGTCAGGTCATGAATCTCATGAAGTGTAGTATAGATAACTGTATTCGACATTAGCCCTAGAGGTCTGTTTAGTGGTTGGGCTGCTGAATAGCCATGCCAATTCCAAATTCTCTTTTACGGGTTTGTTATTGTGACATGTGCATGTGATGTTCTTAATCGAAGATGTCTCAGAAAGAGGACAAATGAGATTGATTTTATCTCTCACTCAACTGACCAAAGTGAATTGCTTTTATCAAGCTTTGAGCATCATGTCAATATGATTGTTTCTGTGTGACTAAGATATATGAGGCATAAGTTGTGAGAGATACAAATGGTGGTGTTCATGTTCTGGATTTTTGTTTTTAACAATTCTGCTTCTTGTTGTATTGGGAACTATTTTGAAAATCTTTACATCCATGAGCTAATGGTGACCCAACTTGTTTCATCATAAGTATTTTGTTGTTGGTTTTTAACTATATTTTCCTTCAGCATTTAATAATCTTTCAATCGACCTCTTGTGGCTTAATTTGTTAAGACATTAGATCTCACGTTTTCATACAGGAGGATAGTGAGAAGACTGGCAAAGTGACATCCGCAGGGATGTATTTCCTACATTTTCAAGTGTACAGAATGGATTCAACTGTGAATGCAGTATGTGTGTTCAGTCATCACTTTCCATTTTTCTCTGAAAAGGTTTCACACTATCATGGCTTATTATGTCATTGTGGTGGTTTAGTTGGCAATGGCAAAGGACCCAGAAGCTGCTTTCTTCAAAAGGTTGGAAGGCCTTCAACCATGTGAAGTTTCACAATTAAAAGCTGGCACTCACATATTCGCCGTCTATGGTCTGAACAGCTTTAAAGCTGCTTATTTGTCCCTTTCTTTTTCTGGTGCCACTAGTATAATATAAATTGCTTGTGCATAAGAGGAATAGTCTTTATACTTCTACCATGATTTGCACAGGCGATAACTTCTTCAAAACTGCTTCTTATACGATTGAGGCTCTTTGTGCAAAGTCATATGAGGATACAACACATAAGCTTAAGGATATTGAGGCTCAGATTTTGAGGAAGAGAATTGAGCTACGGCAATTTGAGACAGAATACAGAAAGGTAATGGCACCTGATTATCTAGCGATGGTTTTTTTATTGGTTTTTGGCAATACGTGCATGGTTTTATCTTTCACGTGTGATGTCTTGTAGGCATTGGCACGCTTTCAAGAAGTGACCAATAGATACACCCAGGAAAGGCTGTCTGTAAGTTTTGTTCTCTCTTAACCTCATCATTCTTATAGAATTTGTTGCCTTAACAACTTAGCACTGATTTCTTCCCTATTGTCTCAGTCCTTCTGTGAACGAACATTCCCCATGACCACCTTTGTGTGCACCTGAAAGATATTGGATTTCTACGTATTTCATTTTTAATCCGTTGTTTAATGTTGTTCATTCACTTTTTTGGTGGCTCTTTGGTAATCTAAAAAACCTGATGCATTTGGGAGGTTGTTAAAAAAGTTGATTTTTTTTTTTAGTGGGAAAGTTGAGTGGGTCCTTACCCTTTTTAGTTGATGACAAACAGGCTTGTGTTAGCCAAAAAAGCTAGTAAGTTACTTTTTTAGCCAAAAAGTTATGTCCCTTCCTATAATCGTAAATGATGTAGAAAATTCTGTGATATGTTTTGTTTTGTAAACATTGAATTTGAGTGTTTTTACCCTCTCATAATTATATAGAACTCTAGTTACTTTGTTTTCATCTTATCGTAGCCATGATCTTGTTTCTGGAACAATATTTTTTTTGTGATTCTGGAAACAGGTTGATGAGTTGCTGAAACAGCAAGACACCTATCCAGTCTTCGTTCACCGTAACCAGGTCGGTCATCAACTTTAGTGGGGGTGGCACTCATGTTAGTAATGGAAGTAGTAGTAGTAAAGTTCCCGGTGAAGATTTCAAGGCTGAGAGCCCCGGAGAAGACGGAAGCTCGGACGGAAAGGATAAATCATCCAAAAAGAAATGGTTCAATCTTAACCTAAAAGGGTCTGATAAGAAGTTGGGTTAAAAGGGTGTGCTTATATAGTCCTGCATTGTTTGCAAGGTTTGACTTGCCTTTTATTTGTTCAATTCATTTCTTCCTTGTGGATCCCCCAAAGGTTGTTCTTTACAGTTTATTATAGTCCATTTCGACAAACATAGCGAATGATTTGTGTGTGCATATATCTTTGTTTTTTGATTTTTTTTTTTTTCAATTGAAATGAATTGCCTGTTAGCCTCCTAGTTGATGTAGAAGCTAGAACATAGTTTTGATTATGTAATAATAGATTTTATTCCTTGAAGTTCGTTGTAATTGTGAATTCATTGCTCTATATTTGTCTGATTAGCATGTCTTGAATCTCATTTGAGCAGAGAGTTGAAGGGTGTCAATTAATTCAAACACAAAGAAGATTGCAAATGTTGTATTGAATTTTCATCAAGTTAAATCTATAAGTTGTCAGGTCATGAATCTCATGAAGTGTAGTATAGATAACTGTATTCGACATTAGCCCTAGAGGTCTGTTTAGTGGTTGGGCTGCTGAATAGCCATGCCAATTCCAAATTCTCTTTTACGGGTTTGTTATTGTGACATGTGCATGTGATGTTCTTAATCGAAGATGTCTCAGAAAGAGGACAAATGAGATTGATTTTATCTCTCACTCAACTGACCAAAGTGAATTGCTTTTATCAAGCTTTGAGCATCATGTCAATATGATTGTTTCTGTGTGACTAAGATATATGAGGCATAAGTTGTGAGAGATACAAATGGTGGTGTTCATGTTCTGGATTTTTGTTTTTAACAATTCTGCTTCTTGTTGTATTGGGAACTATTTTGAAAATCTTTACATCCATGAGCTAATGGTGACCCAACTTGTTTCATCAAAAGTATTTTGTTGTTGGTTTTTAACTATATTTTCCTTCAGCATTTAATAATCTTTCAATCGACCTCTTGTGGCTTAATTTGTTAAGACATTAGATCTCACGTTTTCATACAGGAGGATAGTGAGAAGACTGGCAAAGTGACATCTGCAGGGATGTATTTCTTACATTTTCAAGTGTACAGAATGGATTCAACTGTGAATGCAGTATGTGTGTTCAGTCATCACTTTCCATTTTTCTCTGAAAAGGTTTCACACTATCATGGCTTATTATGTCATTGTGGTGGTTTAGTTGGCAATGGCAAAGGACCCAGAAGCTGCTTTCTTCAAAAGGTTGGAAGGCCTTCAACCATGTGAAGTTTCACAATTAAAAGCTGGCACTCACATATTCGCCGTCTATGGTCTGAACAGCTTTAAAGCTGCTTATTTGTCCCTTTCTTTTTCTGGTGCCACTAGTATAATATAAATTGCTTGTGCATAAGAGGAATAGTCTTTATACTTCTACCATGATTTGCACAGGCGATAACTTCTTCAAAACTGCTTCTTATACGATTGAGGCTCTTTGTGCAAAGTCATATGAGGATACAACACATAAGCTTAAGGATATTGAGGCTCAGATTTTGAGGAAGAGAATTGAGCTACGGCAATTTGAGACAGAATACAGAAAGGTAATGGCACCTGATTATCTAGCGATGGTTTTTTTATTGGTTTTTGGCAACACGTGCATGGTTTTATCTTTCACGTGTGATGTCTTGTAGGCATTGGCACGCTTTCAAGAAGTGACCAATAGATACACCCAGGAAAAGCTGTCTGTAAGTTTTGTTCTCTCTTAACCTCATCATTCTTATAGAATTTGTTGCCTTAACAACTTAGCACTGATTTCTTCCCTATTGTCTCAGTCCTTCTGTGAACGAACATTCCCCATGACCACCTTTGTGTGCACCTGAAAGATATTGGATTTCTACGTATTTCATTTTTAATCCGTTGTTTAATGTTGTTCATTCACTTTTTTGGTGGCTCTTTGGTAATCTAAAAAACCTGATGCATTTGGGAGGTTGTTAAAAAAGTTGATTTTTTTTTTGGTGGGAAAGTTGAGTGGGTCCTTACCCTTTTTAGTTGATGACAAACAGGCTTTTGTTAGCCAAAAAAGCTAGTAAGTTGCTTTTTTAGCCAAAAAGTTATGTCCCTTCCTATAATCGTAAATGATGTAGAAAATTCTGTGATAAGTTTTGTTTTGTAAACATTGAATTTGAGTGTTTTTACCCTCACATAATTATATACAACTCTAGTTACTTTGTTTTCATCTTATAGTAGCCATCATCTTGTTTCTGGAACAATATTTTTTTTGTGATTCTGGAAACAGGTGGATGAGTTGCTGAAACAGCGAGACACTATCCAGTCTTCATTCACCGTAACCAGGTCGGTCATCAACTTTAGTGGGGGTGGCACTCATGTTAGTAATGGAAGTAGTAGTAGTAAAGTTCCCGGTGAGGATTTCACGGCTGAGAGCCCCGGAGAAGACGGAAGCTCGGACGGAAAGGATAAATCATCCAAAAAGAAATGGTTCAATCTTAACCTAAAAGGGTCTGATAAGAAGTTGGGTTAAAAGGGTGTGCTTATATAGTCCTGCATTGTTTGCAAGGTTTGACTTGCCTTTTATTTGTTCAATTCATTTCTTCCTTGTGGATCCCCCAAAGGTTGTTCTTTACAGTTTATTATAGTCCATTTCGACAAACATAGCGAATGATTTGTGTGTGCATATATCTTTGTTTTTTGATTTTTTTTTTATCAATTGAAATGAATTGCCTGTTAGCCTCCTAGTTGAAGTAGAAGCCAGAACATAGTTTTGATTATGTAATAATAGATTTTATTCCTTGAAGTTTGTTGTAATTGTGAATTCATTTTCCATTGCTCTCTATTTGTCTGATTTGCATGTCCTGAATTTCATTTGAGCAGAGAGTTGAATGGTGTCAATTAATTCAAACGCAAAGAAGATTGCAAATGTTGTATTGAATTTCATCAAGTTAAATCTATAAGCTGTCAGGTCATGAATCTCATGTAGTATAGATAACTGTATTTGACGTTAGCCTTAGAGGCCTGTTTAGTGGTTGGGCTGCTGAATAGCCATGCCAATTCCAAATTCTCTTTTACGGGTTTGTTATTGTGACATGTGCATGTGATGTTCTTAATTGAAGATGTCACAAAAAAGGACGAAGGAGATTGATTTTATCTCTCACTCAACTAACCGAAGTGAATTGCTTTTATCAAGCTTTGAGCATCATGTCAACATGATTGTTGCTCTGTGACTAAGATCCTATTTGCTTGTGTCTCAATGTTAGGATATAGCTCCAGTGAATCTCATCTCGTTAGAGCTCCTCAACGTTGGATTTTGAATTCTAAAATTGTCTTGTTTATCGCATTTCTTATCTTTGTGTTTGCAAGTGAGGTTGTTTTTGCTTCTCTCAGGCTTGGTTTGATGGTTGGTGCGTTGGAGTTTTATGGTCCTTGTACTGTTTTGGCTTTCTTTGAGGGGCTGAGACAACTTTTTAATCATTTTTCCAGGCGTAAAATATCTCCTTGAATGACTCCTAGACCCTTGTAATTTTATTTATTATTATTTGTACAAGCTATGCCTTTCTATTTTTTTTTTTTACTTGAGTTCTTTATGCTGAATTCTATGTATTTCCTTTCCTTTATATTAATGAAGTTTTTAAAAAGTGCCACAAAAAAAAAAAAAATGTTGAGATAATAGTGAAGTTTAAAGACTAAGTTATAATCATCAAAGCCATCTCTAATATTTCAACTCTCAACATAAAACAAAATATATTTTGAGATTTGTTTTAAAAAATATAGAAATTCACGGTAGAATAAAAAAATAATTTTTTTTAATCTAAAAATCATATCAAACTATCAAGAAAAAGAAAGGGAAAGCTTTGACTGAAAAGCTAGTGGAGCACATTTTTGTGCTTACTCAATGCAAATACTAATGTTGTATTTGGTTGGGAGATTTGGAGAGGGATTTGGAAAAGGAAATGGAAAAAGTAGGTGAAATGTGAATAAAATATGTATATATTTCACATAGTTTCACACACTTTTTCCCTTTCCCTTTCCAAATCCCGCTCTAAATCCCCCAACCAAACACACCATAAATGCAAATTGCCCTTTTTTAAATGATTAAACCTTTTTGTTTGAAAATGAACATTTAATTACACATTTTTGTGCCAAGTCATTGCAAATACTAAATGCAAATTGCCCTTTTTTGAATAATTAAACCTTTTTGTTTGAAAATGAACATTTAATTACCCTATCTTTGATTTTTTTTTTTTTTTTTTTTCTATACAAGCATTTTTGGGGGACAAAATAGACTTTATTTTTATTCTTGAAAAAATATAGTGACCACTGAGTAGATGTGCAACTACCTCAAATCATGTTAAAGGTGTAACTATAATATGCTTTCTTTCCTCATTATTATTATGTTGGTCTTAACTCTATATTATAATCTTTTTCCATTGAGATTTATTAATTTAGAAGAGGGTCCATTGGGAAGAAATTATAACTTTAAAAATGGACTGTCGTTGTTGTTTTATTTTTAATTATTATTATTTTGTTAAATCAACTTGGCCGTCTGATCTAATTTAATACTTAAGAAGACATAATATGAAATAATCTAATTTAAATTGAACATATGCACACGGTTCTTAATCAATTAGCTTAGTACATAGGAAGTTTGCTTTGTTAGAAACTTGTTTATCAAAATGGAGACCAAATTCTCACAAAATTTTAAAGAAAACTTTTAAGAAATGTTTCTTAATTTAAGATGTTTTTGAAACTCTAACACAATATCAAAAAACTTTGTAATTCTCCTGAAAAATGTTGTGGAAACTACACAAGATGTTTTTGAAACTCTAACACAATATCAAAAAACTTTGTAATTCTCCTGGAAAATGTTGTGGAAACTCCTCACAAACTTGCTTCTCATAACTTCTAGTATTTTTTGTATTGACAAATCTTATTTTTTAACAATAATTGTCCAAACAAGTTTCTTAAATTATTTTTTTGTGGCATTAGTAGTATGATTGATTAGGAAGTATTCTAATTCTACAATATTGTTATTTTAAAGATTTTTACTAAGTTTTATAATTTTTTATCACTGTTTCAAGGCCCGTCCCAACTTTTCTTACGCCTTACGCTAACCCTAAAAATAGGATCTCCATACATATTTAAAAAAATAAAAAAATAAAATAAAATAACAGTGAATATATTCTTCATATTTTTATTTGCTAGTTCCTACAAAACAATTGTTTACATATATAATCACTAAAATTATATATTAATATTTGTTTACATAGATTAAAATGTATCATTACAAGAACACAAAAAGCATAAGAGTTAATTTGTTTTGCTTATTTTAACTCTATTTATGATAAGAAAAAAATTAAAATTATAATACTTAATAAAAATTAAATCAATTGTAACAAAGTATCACTTAAATTTTACAATTATCACATTCTTAACTTCAAAATTACTAATTAAATCTGCATAATCTAACTTATCAACCATGGCATTTTTAATGGATAACGTAACTAATTTATTCAATTATTCTTGCGATATGATTGACTAAATATAAGATTTGATTAACTTCAATTTTTTTTTTTAAAAAAAAAAAAAAATCTTTCTTTATAGACATAATCAACATTCCCCTACTAAAAAAAATTAGTAGCTAAAAAGTTGACTTTTGCCGACTAATATTATTTTTGGTAGCCAATTCCGTGACTTTTGGCGACTAAATTAGTTTTGGTAGCTAAAAATGATCGGCAAAAATGCTTTTTCTTATAGTGACGGCTGCTTTCCTCATCTGCCCTTAGGGCCGGCTTCACTATCGTTCTAATTTTCACAATATTTTTAACAACATTTTCGTCTTCTCGCTTCCATTGTTCATATTAATAACTATGTTCCATATAATAAGCATCTTCTTGACCCACAAGTCAAGATATCCTTAATCAAACCAAGAAATTGGCTTAATACATTGACAATAGAACACATAGCTAAAACAATTTTAGTATTAGCTTGCAACTATGGGTTATACTAATAGACAGGAAAACACCATCTTAGGTTATCTGTTCCAAGACTATAGTTTGGCTTAAATTAGATTTATATATAGCTTATTATAAGAATATGATAATGACCTAATTCACAAAAACAACTCACTTGAACTACATTTCTTTGATTCCAAACAACTTGTCTTGACCTCTGTTGAACCAAAGTAATTTGTAGGTTTATGTACATGACTAATTGCTTGTACTTTGATTCTTTCTTGGGACAAGGCAAATACCTCCAAAATTCAAAGGTTGTTTATAGGGTTTTCTTTAAAATAAGCACATCATGTTGGGAAAGAAATGCATAACACTTATTCTAAGCCAAGTCCCACATGCATATAATAAATATATACATCTTACTTTATGTATGGTTAGATTCCCTGTTTAGTCACAAGTGTGTGAATCTGTTGAGTCATTGGTTTTACAGTTGGGAAAAATTATATATATGAGAAATTTTTTGATTGGTTGTCTTTGGAGAGATAAGTGATGTACTTTCTCAATAACATAAGGATATATGACTATCTCAAAATAAAATGGTTATACAGTCACATAATATGCCAAATTTATTAAATCACTTTTTATACAGTAAGAATTTTCTGTTCTTAAATAATTTTGTCCTTCTGTTTTAAATCACTCATAACCATTAAATCATATCAAAATTTTAAGATGTGAAAATCTCAAGACATATCCAATGATTGTGAGTGATATGGGACAAGAGGATAAAATTATTTGAAAACAGAGAATCCTCATGCCTTTTTATGTATATTGATATCAAGTACAGCAGTCTAAATTTTAAATTTATAAAAAATAATATAAAAGTACAATCCTTGTGTTTTGAACTAAGTTATTTTGTTTCATAATGAAACTTAACCGTTAAATTAATATAGTAAGATTATTGCAGAGAAAAAAAAAATAGTAGAGGGTACTGATTCTTATAGAAGTGGCATGTTGGGAAAGTTTGTTCAATGGACAAGTGTCGAGGCCAAATCAATCCACGTGGCATAAAAAGCAATTAATGATCAAGTTTGGAGCATTAAAATAGAATAATTAGCAATTATTATAGTGACTTAATTGGTTTGTCATGTGCAAGTGTTTCCCAACTAATGTCATTGCATTACATGTTATATATGTATATATATATGAATGTGGTGTGGCGTTTATGTAGCCGCCTAAGTGTCTACTTTTTTATAGGCAAACCCAAACCCACAATTGGAGTTTTGTCTTATTAATTGACCAAGTCCCCCTCCAAACCCCTCTTATCTCACTTCAGGGGACTTCAATTGTGTTATTTTAATCTCAAAAGCTTAGTGGGAATTCATTGCAAATACCTTTTAAAAAAATAAAAAAATTGATCTAGACATTCTAGACTGTAATCTAGGTTTAGGCTTCAATGTTTATAGACTATATATTAATTATGGTTAGTTTATTTATAAGTCACTTCACATGCCTTAAAGCTAACTCCACCCAACCTTCCACTTTTTTATTTTTTATTTTTTATTTTTTAAATTATAATAAAAGAAGAAGGTAATATTATTTGGAATATATGGACAAAAAAATGTTAGAAGTCTTAAAAATTTTACTAAAAATTTTATCAAATGTCTTATATGGATGTGAGACCCACATGGGATTTACATAGTGTAAGTCTCATATTCATGTGAGACATTTGATTGAATTTTAATAATTTTTTTTAGATTTCTTATATTATTCATACATAG